GTCTGTGACCGGCTCCCGGTGCAGACGGCTCCCTGTTATAGTGTTTCCTCACTTGGCTCATGTGAACCCAGCCCAATTTTTACTTTTTAAGTGTGTGTGTGTGTGTGGGTGGGGGGGGGGGTGGGGGTGGCGGAGATATGTGTGTATTCACATCATTTATGTTAATGAGAGTGTGGGGAGTGAGTTGGAGGGTGGGGTGGGCTGCTTTTAACTATGTAAAGCACTTTGTGCTACATTTTTTGTATGAAAAGTGCTTTATAAATAAAGATTGATTGATTGTAATCAATCCAGGCAGTGCACAGGTTGGTCAGTCTGGTCTTGCTGTCTCGGCTGACTGTTCTGTCTACCAGTAGCTGGTGTTTTGCGCCTCTGGTATTCTTGCCAATTCCTTTCTGTGTCCCACTCATGTATTGACCCATGTGCCTGTTCACCTTAGCCGATATAATGCCTGACAGGAGCTTCCATGTAGTACTGAGGCAGGTTATTGGTCGGTAGTTGGAGGGGACCAGTCCCTTCTTGGGGTCCTTGGGGATCAGGACCGTCCGACCTTCGGTTAGCCATTCCGAGTGTCTCTCGTTAACTAGCAGCTGGTTCATTTGTGCTGCCAGACGCTCGTGGAGTGCAGTCAGCTTCTTTAGCCAGTAGGCGTGAACCATGTCGGGCCCTGGTGCTGTCCAACTCTTCATACTGGGGACCCTTTCTTGGATATCTGCCACTGTGATGGTTACTGGACCCTGTTCAGGGAGGTCGCTGTGGTCTGCCCTCAGATCCAATAGCCACTGAGCATTGCCGTTATGGGTTGCGTCCTTCTCCCATATGCTCTTCCAGTATTGCTCCGTCTCTAGCCTTTGGGGTGCTGTTCTCTTATTATTATTGTTCCCTTGCCACTGAGAGTACACGTTTGCTGGTTCTGTGGAGAACAGCTGGTTTATTCTCCTGCCCTCTATCTCTCTGGTGTACCTCCTCAAGCGGCTGGCCAAGGCTGTGAGTCTTTGCTTGGCAGTTTCCAAGGCCTCAGGTATGGACAGCTTGCTGTATTTCTTATGCACCTTCTTTGTTGCACCTTTCTGCAACTCCGTTAGTTGGCTAAACTCGCTCCGTGCTACTTTGATCTTACCCTCTAGCCTCCTTCTCCATGGAGGGTACTACCCCTTGTGGCTGTTCAACTTGTAGCCAAGCATCTCACTGATCACTATATATATATATATATATATATATATATATATATATATCTCCTGTGCTAATCTCTCTGAGCAGGCGTACAGGCACTTTGGAGGCCAAATGTCTCTCACCTTTGCCCTAGAAACAAGTCTATTATTTATCTGTGTCTGTAAGTGTGTTTGCATTGACCATCAAAAGACTGAATGCCAACTCTCATGAGCACATTTGCAATGTGTGTATGAAAATAAGTATAACTACTTATTTAATAAAAGGTCACAAAATACCACTAATAAAAGGCCGGTTAGAATAATGTATTTCCCACAACTCACTGCCTCTGTTTGTATCTCTGTCACTGCAGGACCAACGTGGATCGAGAAGTCAGCGCTCTCAGGAGCCCGACAAATTCGTTGAAGAAAGAAGTGGAAGAAAAAAATACTGTGACGAGTTTGGGAAAGACATTACTGTGAAAGCTTCCCTAAATATGCATCAGGTCATTCACACCAGAGAGAGACCGTTCAGCTGTGACGAGTGTGGAAAGTCTTTTTCCTGGAAGAAAGCCCTAAAAAGACACCATCTCATCCACAGTGGACTTAAAGCGTACAGCTGTGATGAGTGTGGAAAGTCTTTTACCCACTCTGGAAACTTAAAAGCACACCAACTCATCCACACTGGAGAGAGACCATTCAGCTGTGATGAGTGTGGAAAGTCTTTTACCCACTCTGGAAACTTAAAAGCACACCAACTGATCCACACTGGAGAGAGACCGTTCAGCTGTGATGAGTGTGGAAAGTCTTTTACCCACTCTGGAAGCTTAAAAACACACCAACTGATCCACACTGGAGAGAGACCATTCAGCTGTGATGAGTGTGGAAAGTCTTTTACCCACTCTGGAAGCTTAAAAGCACACCAACTGATCCACACTGGAGAGAGACCATTCAGCTGTGATGAGTGTGGAAAGTCTTTTACCCACTCTGGAAACTTAAAAGCACACAAACTGATCCACACTGGAGAGAGACCATTCAGCTGTGACGAGTGTGGAAAGTCTTTTAGCAAGTCTGGAAGCTTAAAAATACACCAACTCATCCACAGTGGAGAGAAACCATTCAGCTGTGACGAGTGTGGAAAGTGTTTTACCCACTCTGGAAACTTAAAAGCACACCAACTGATCCACAGTGGAGTTAAAGCGTACAGCTGTGATCAGTGTGGCAGAGCTTTTACTCACAGTAACAGCTTACAGAGTCATCTAGTTACCCACTCTGGAATTAAGGCATACAGCTGTGACATTTGTGGAAAAACTTTCAGCCGGATAGGGAGGCGAAATACACACCTACGCATTCACACCAGACATGATGTGTACTGCTGTGATCAGTGTGGCAAACACTTTGCTACAAACACAGAGTTACGATGTCACATGTTTACCCACTCTGAGGAGAGCCCTTATAAATGTGACCTGTGTGAGAAGACTTTTAAATCTCCACATTCTCTGAGACGACACCAACAGATCCACACCAGAAAGACTCTACAAGTGCAGTTACTGTGAGGTATGTATTTTTATGTTTATCTTGTCAGCCCGACTGTTTGAAACAACTCTGCTCATCAAATTGTGTTAGCATGTTAGCAATTCTACTGCATGGAAAGGCAGCTCTGAATGATTATTCAGACTCTAATCACAGGTTTTTAGGGATAGTGTTTGAGAATCGTTATTGTTATTGTAGCATTAAACTAGTTTTAATTTAATGTTTTTACTCTTATCATTTTTATAGCACATTAAATTGATCTGAGTGTGATAATGTAAACAGTAAAATGTAATTGGACTTTGGCAGAGATGGTCTTTATTTCAGGCGACGTTCAGGATAAAAATGTTGACGGACTGACTTACACTGTCTTTGTGTCTTTGTTTAGAAGCAGAGCGACACAGATGGATCAAGTTCTCAACCCTGTAATCGCTATGGGAAAGACTTTTGTTGTGACCTTTGTGGAAAAACATGAAGTCATTGAAGGACTCTGAAAATACATCAACGTAGACACACTGGAGACGAAATGAACTACTGTAAAGAATGCAGGAGAGGCTTCACCACTTCAAAGCACTTCAAACAATATGAACTCACTCACAGTTGCGTTAAAAAGCATGTCTGCGATCAGTGTGGGTCATCCTTCATCAGTGCACGTCAGCTTGAAAAGCATAAACGAGTCCACACATGAGAGAAACCATACAAGTGCAGACACTGTGACAAAACCTTTTCGCAATCATGTGATCATACTAAGCATGAACGCAGACACATGAAAGAGAACTTCATCTGTGAAAGAGTTTGAGTAATCTCAGTTCATACTCCACTCACAAACGATTCCATGTTACAAATAAACTATTACGTCTTGATTCCCGCTTTTAAGTTAATCTTGTAAACAGTACATTTGCATAACGACTGAAACCAGCCCAATGAATGAACAATGGGCTGTGAGGTCAGTTTCTTCATCATTAATATGCAAATTCTTATGACCATTGATCAACAACCACTGGTCAATGGCCATGAGTACCATTCACAGAGTAAAAATTTGCATAATGATTATGAAGGAACTGTTTTACTGTTACCAATGTTCAAAAACATTTACTAAATTATCTCCTCTGTGCAAACATCAGCGTGATGCAGGACTGAAATCATTACCATCTCTGGATCACAGTGAATCTGCATACTGGGTCAGTGACCTCCTGACCCAGTATGAACCTTCCAGATCCCTCAGGTCATCTGGATCCGGTCTTTTATCAGTTCCCAGAGTCAGAACCAGACACGGAGAAGCTGCATTCAGCTTTTATGCTCCTTATATCTGGAACAAACTCCCAGAAAGCCTCAGATCAGCTGAAACACTCAGTTTATTTAAATCCAGGTTGAAGACTCACCTGTTCTCAGCTGCATTTGAATAAAGCACCAAATCCACACTTTTAAGCTTAAATTTCAAAACTTACACTAACTACTGATCTTATCTATTTCTGATTTTATCTGTTTTGATTTTATATACTGTTTTGTTTGTTTTGTTTGTTTGTTAAGTGGGTTTAGAGCTCTGGGTAGCTCCCCAACTGGGTCTAGACTGGGTCTACAGAGTATTTTAAATTCAGGGAATTTAAAATAGAAAGTAGCTCGTCCACAGAAGGACTGGTAGCTCCCCTTACGATAAGGGTTCAGATCGCGCGAACAGGTGTGAAATGTGTGTGTTTACTTAGTTTGTTTGTTTGCTTGTTTTAATCAATTTTAAATCATGCTTTTTATTTGTTTTTGTTTCTAATGTCTCTGTAAAGCACTTTGAATCACCTTGTTGTTGAATTGTGCTATACAAATAAATTTGCCTTGCCTTGCCTTGCCTTGCAGAGACAAAGATCCTCTTCTGGTTTCAGGGTCAGACTTAAACCCTTGAGATCAAGCTCCACAGACTTCAGGTGGAGTCTTCTGTAAAGATCTGATTAGGCCCCTATGAATGAAAATGTGCCTCTTGTTACATTTTAAGCTTTCTAAACTGTTCCACTGTAGTGTTTGTGTTGAGTGGTTCGCTTTGTTCCAGCAGTTTGATTAAGAAATCTGTTTCCTGTTATATTTTTAAAGAATGCATTGATCCATGTGTTCTGCAGTTTTTTTTCAGCTCGTTTGTGTAATGAAATCTTGCAACAGTTAAACCAAAATTTTACATGTTAAATAAAGAAATGGTTTACTGACAAAGAGTTTGAGCCGTGATGTCATTTCCTGTATATCAGAGCAACACCTGAAGTGACCAGTGTTTAAAGTCAGAGTCAAATTTTGTGTCAGCTTGACCTTGTGAAAACTGCTTGGCGATGCTTCACTATGTTATCTGCTAACTGTTGGGGCGTAGAAGGACGAAACTCCCAGGGTGACCAGTGCCAGGAGCTTCCTGATGCAGAGAGTTGAGTGTGGGGGATATAAAGGAGAAGCTGAGGCATCCCAAGGTTAAAGCTGGGATAACTGAACTTTAATGTTTGATGTGTTTTGGCTCTCCTGCATGCAGTAATTAATAGCTTGAACACAGCAGAGCTTGATATAAAGACCTTACAATTGAATTGAATTAAATTGGTTATTTAGTATGTCTAAAGGGTTAAACTGCGTCCTCACATCTGCTTCATGAATATGAAGGGTTGTAGTGGGAGAAGGTGGTGTGAAGTCCTCATAGGTGTGAAGTGAGAAGGGGGCTCCTGTGGGTGAAGTCTTTGATAGCGTTGATGGCTCTGTTGTGGGGGGAGTGGGGAAGGTGGGAGGATGAGTGACCAAAGTGTCTCGTTTGAGGTGTGAAAGCTGCTCGATGTCTCATCAAACCGGCAGTAAAAGTCATTGAGGGTGTTGGCCAACAGCAAGTCGTCAGTGGAGTGGGGCTGTGTGCTTCCTGAAGTGAAAATCTGGCATTTAAAGATGAATGGGGAAAACTCGCTCACAGCTGACTAATGAACATTTGCATGCATGCTTAAGAACTGCATTGAGCACGTTTCACCCAAGGTTTAAAATTCTGCCTGCAAATGTCAGAGATGTACTCGTCTGTGTCCATATTTTCTCCAGCATATGGGGGGTTCCCATCATAATGAGTCTTTTGGTAAGAGGTGATAAAGAACCTAATCAAAATTTCCATCCAAATTCCCTCCATCTTTGTGAGCTAGTGCATTTCAGTTCATCCTGTGTTATGCACACACCTCCCTCCTTCTCCCATCTTATTTGTAAAGAACGTATACAAACAGGAAATGTGTTTTTTGTTGACGTCACCACTATATGCCTTTTTGAGCATTGCTATCAAATCTACATTAGTGTCCGACACCACTCTAATTGTCCTCTTTATATAGTGTCTTATTAACAAATATCGTCATAAATCCTGTCTTTCCAGATTGTATTTTTGTTTCAATGTATCAACACTAATAAAATTTCCATCTTTAATCAAGCTATCAAATATAGGCAATCCTTTAGCAGACCAACTTTTAAGACATGAGTCCAGTTTTTTGGGGGTAATGTCAGAGACATAAGCATACCATTTAAATAATACCAAGTCTTGTTCTAGTTTAAATCCAAATATATATATTGTTAATTAAATGTTAAATAAAAAATATAAAAAGTTGCATTTCCTGCAAAAATGCAGTGTGGTGGAATCTGATGAAAACGGCAGGAAAATCTCCCTTTTAACAGGAAAGCAGAACTCTCAAATAACCAGGAAGGGGCGGCCATCTGGCACAACCGGTTGGGGTGAGGGAAGGAAGACAGGAGAAAAGACAGACAGAGATTAATAACAAGTATGATTCAATGCAGAGAGGTCTATTAACAGTGTTGGGAAGGTTACTTTTAAAATGTATTCCACTACAGATTACAGAACTTTGTTGTCTGGGTCAAGTTTGCTATCCAGAGACAGAGAGAGGCATTGAAAGGCTGCTCCAACGGAACTTATTGTTTCAGAGGAAAACACGAACACAGCGTACAGTCGAGTCTTAATAACGTACTTACAACTGGGCTTTTGGCTGCAGTGATTATTATTGTATTTACATGCTTCCAGCTCCTGTTTCTGCTCTATGACAACTTGTACTTTTCTCCTTTTTCTCCCTCCTCGCTCACAGACACATCACGGGTATGGCAGTCCATTCTCCCTGCAGCACGGACTACACTGCCCATGAGGCTACATTCTTTAGCACTATGCTTGTAACACTCTCTTATTGCCTTCAAATAATTTTTAAAAATATTTCTTCACTTCATTATGAGACGCGAGATTGAGACACGGGCATTAGGGCCTCTTAATGCGTGGAATTACCAAAAATAGAGGGTATAGCCAAACATATTGTGGCGAGCTCAGACGGGGAGGAGACAGATGTGTCGTTTGGTCTTGTTTGTGAGAAGCTTTTGTCACAGTGTCTAAACCTGTATGGTTTCTCTCCTGTGTGGACATGTTTGTGTCTTTTGAGCTGACTTGCAGTGGTGAAGGATGACCCACACTGATCACAGACATGCTTTTTAACCCCACTGTGAATGAGTTCATGCTGTTTTAAGTCCTTTGGTCTGGGGAAGCCTTTCTCACATTCTTTGCAGTAGTTCATTTTGTCTGCAGTGTGTCTATGTTGATGTATTTTTAGGGTCTTTTGATGACTGAAAGTTTTTCCACAAAGGTCACAATGAAAGTCTTTCCCACCACCATTTTAATCCTGAACATCGCCTGAAATAAAGAGCATCTTTGCCAACGTCCAGTTATCTTTTATTGCTTACATTATAACACTTAGCTCAGTTTAATGTGCTACAAAAACTATAATAGTAACAAAAGTATTATAATAATTAGAGAGATACTGACCTAAATTACTAGATCGGATATCGGAGA